AATGTTTTTTTATTGTCTTCCCCTTATTTTGACGCACTGGTCTATTAGTACTTGTTCCAGGAATCGTATACTTGACGCACGCATGCCTGCTCTAGCCTGTGATTGGCCTGAGTGCTCAGCGTACTTTTCACGAAAATATTCAGTACGTCGAGACCACAGGCTCATCTCAGCTGGATTGCTCGCTGCAAGACGAACAGACGAGCTGCGTGGAAGCATGGGCAGTTCGGGACGCGAAGGTGAGTATACCGTCTCCGAGCGAATACTGCATTCGTAGAACGGAGAGTTGAGCGCTTGCTCAGGTCGCGTTGAAAGACCGAGTGTGCAAACACCGCGGACACAAGAGAGAAAGACAAACGCCTTTTTACACGAATACTGCATTTGTGGTTACTGTGGGCATCGGGATTGAATAGTGCTCTTCCAAAGGGACCATTTCAATATGATTAGGTGAAAATCAGTTAGCTTATACCATGACGCGGAAATAAACGTTCCCTTAAATTATGAGGCGAAGCCGTTTCTATGCGGTTGCGACATCAGGTATTTCCAAACAGTGACATGCAAAGAGACAATAATGATAATTGTTCTAAAGCAAATAAACTTTTGTGAAGAACCTGTCCGCACCGAGAAACGCATTAAAAACCGAATTTCGTGGTTTTATATGCATGCATATGCGAAAGCCAGCGATGTCAATGCTCGTTAAAGAACACCTCTAGGTCTAAATTTCCGGTTTCCTCCGCTCTAAACGACGTCCCTCATATAGTATCATCGTATCTTTTGGACGTACAACCCCAGATATTACGTCGATGCTGAAAGGTGTGATAGATCGATGTCTGGGAGCACCCGACCGAAACGGTATAAGATGCGAACCAATGAGACTGACGCCGTACGCTTGAATTTTCAGCCCAAAACCACATTGAAGTTGCCTATACCCGGGCTCACATCAAGAATACCAGCAAAGCTCAGAGGACGTTCCGACATCGCAAGGACAGCTAGAGGCTTCTATGATAACGCCGACATTCTGGTCTTCGTTCAAGCGATGATTGGGCCCATGGATGACAACCACCTGGGCGATTTCCGAAACAGATGGCTTCCCACGATCTCTTCCTTTCTACCCTTCCCCATTTCCCCCTTTTCGCGATGTAGTTATAAAAATGTCCTCAAATAAATGTGCACCTGATTATTTCCGTATTTTCTACATACAATTCTCCCTGACAGTGCAATTGAAGACAAGTGTGACGCGTGCGGTGGCATTATTGGGATCAGAGACATGCTGGCGGGCTGTCCCGCGACTCTCGCCGATCCCGAAGAACAATGGCTCTACTGGCAGACGATGGTGCGAAGCGCGTCTTATCGAGACCAACTACGGGCAGTCCAGAAGGTCCACGATGACGTCACAAGGCTCGGCCTGACGGTACCGACGTGGACGCGGCCCGCCTCGGTCTGAAACGACCGGTCTTCGGACACAAATAAAGTTTTGTGAATGAATGAATGATTCTTCTTCGTCATTTGCGTGACTATAGTGCGCTTCGAACTGGTAGTTGCACTCCATGGTATCGAGGATAGGGCGCACGATCACTCCATGTTACAAAGTTTACTTATCGCTTAATATGTGTATAAATGCATGTCATTAGATAGGCTTGGTTACAAAGAAAAACAAAAATATTTAAAAAAATGAAGGCAGGTTCACCCTAGAAGGAAGTGTTGGGCAGCCTTCTTCGTTTCTCATCGGTTTTCTGCTTATTTCCTCCTCTCTTTTTCTTGTTCACAGTTTTCATCCTATTCTTTTCCTTTCTTTCTCTCTCGCTTACTTCCCATTTCCCCCTATTTTCATATGTGATTTTGCCTGCGTTACGCCAAGTGACGACAGTATACGACATCCCGGGCTTGTAAAACTGAAACAGTAAACACAGTAAAACTAGAACAGTAAATTTAAAACAATAAAATAAAAAATTCTGAAAATGGCAGACCACACTTACAGTGGGAATCGATGATTTGCGAAGCACGAATGGGGAAGGTTGTCCCTTTAAAATAAGCACAACGTTACGAGGTGGATGTATATTATGCCATGCATGACTTTCATCTCATTTTATTATGTTTTCGCCTGGCATTTGTGTTCGACGTCCTTTCACGTCACGTAATGCTAAATTTCGCATATGTGAAGCTAGCGAAACGGCCGCAAGCGCGCTATGAGCGTAGCATGTAGTCATGTTTTACATGACACGCATGTCATGATAATCGTGTTTGGACGTGTGATTCACCTTCGTTGTCTATTCATGTCACGTAATACCAAATAAAGACGCTCCTATTTGTGCGTAATTTTTAACCACTAGAAAATAGTACTAGAAACAGTGTAACCATCCGATTTCTGTTCTCGTGGGATCTCGAACGGTGATCAGCAAGAGAGCCCGAGGTAATAAAGGGATAAACTGGATGCGTAACTGTTTCAAACAATAACAAACGAACATTTTTTGTTTTAAACGTATTCGGTCCTCAAATGGATTTGATTGCATGGTCATTAATTTCGACAGTTTCAGAATACACAACGTTGTTGACAACGCCTTATTAACTAAACATTCAAATGAAGTTTTAGTTATAACAGCTTTTAAGCCAATAATTTGAATGCGAAACACACAGCTGAACACCATACGCCTCGACTTCGTCCCGCGTTCAGTCGCATTAACATAGTTCAGTCGCATTAACACAGGAGCGGATTTGGGGGTGCATGGAAACCTGACCCTGCCCGCGCAGCTAGTTTGTTACATTTTAACGCGATTGCGTTAGAGAGGTCGTGTTGCAGAAATTCCGCCGTCGGCGTCGGCACCGTTGGTTGTGAGCGAAAAATCGTCCGTGAGCGAAAAATTGAGAAGGAAGCAAATAAAATGACGAATAAAATTTATGGACCCATTGAGAGTCGTCGAACCCGGCCGTTCGCGTAGCAAGCAGGTGTCATACCACAAAGCCACGATGTTACTTGCAGTTGCTTCGGGAAAAAACACTACATAAATGCCATGTATTGGAAGGAGTCTCCTTGACGCATTTTGTTCGACAGGTGTCACGACGAAAACGAGCCCATTCGGTGATTTGTAGGCGCATTTGGGAGGCCCTCAAACTACGTCGAAAAAGGCCGGGATAGTGCAGCCATCGCCGCTAAAAACACACAGCAACTTTCAAACAGCTATAACAATGAACAACTACTTCTATCTAGCGGAGAACGTATCATCCCTTTCCAGAAGCGTTGATCAAGAAAACAGCAAACGCTAGATAATGTGCTGTCACCTCTGAGGTTTTGTGAGACTCTTTATGACCTCCGAGTTGGAAAACGCGAGGTTTGAATCTTGGAGGCCATGTGATTCTTGCTTTAGATCGAAAATCTGTATTTACCATTCGTGCGCGCGCGCCCGTGTGTGTGTCTGTGTGCTATCTGTGAGACATTGTGAAACGTATCTCGACTAGAGCGCCACTCTAGCAGGAGGAAGTGGCCACACTGCACAGTGTGTGTGTGTGTGCGTGCGTGTGGGTGTGTGCCTGCGTGTGTGTGCGTGCGTGTTGTGTGTGTGTGTGTGTGTGTGTATGTGTGTGTGTGACAACACATATTATTAAGTATGCACTGAGCGGTTGAAGGGCGCACTAGGTGCCAGATTTCATTATCGCGTTCAACTCTTAAAAGCGAAACTTAAGGGTCGCTTAATTTTCTTATCTATATACATGAAAACATACGAACACGTGTGCACAAGCAAACACACGCACGAGCACACATCATTTCATAAAGGATGGTCAGGCCCGATTCATAAACGAATTTCTAGGTATACGCCCCTGGTCGCTCGTGCAAAGGGGTATCGTATCGCTTGAACAGAGAAGAACGGTTTGGGCCATATCTTTATTTTCTATACGTGCATGGGTAATTCAATTTTCCACAACTCCAATAATACAACGATATGTAATCTTAAACTTATTTATTTATTTATTTACCCACTTGTTTATCTGATGTAGGACTTCCAGGTAGCCACCGTTCGTAATCAGAATTACACCAACGAAATCTTGCGAGTAGCCGGCTCCGTCCGTGCCCTCCACCCCGCCGAAGCCGAGGAAGCGGCTCTCGCGGTGTCCTCCGGCTATACTACGATCCTCAGCGGCTCGAAAACCGCTATATCCCATTTCGCTCGCGGTACCGTTTTTCCCGGTACCTTACGGCTCCTTCAGTCCGTCGCCTACCTCGAAGACGAGGATCCGCCTCCGATATATTTCGTCTGGGTCCCGGCGCACGCGGGAAACCCGGGGAACGAGGCCGCCCACCGACAAGCTCGAGAATTCGTCAACCGAGCGGTGGGACCCACCACGAACCCAGAGAACATCGGCGAGCCCCTCATATCCTATCACGAAATTGCTCAGCACTATCGCCTCGCGCGTCGAACAAAACCACCGCCGCATCCCAAACTCACGAAAGCACAAGAACTCACATGGCGCCGCCTCCAAACGAACTCGTTCCCGTGCGCGCGGGTATACGCACACATTTACCCCGATCTGTTCAGTCCGCTTTGCTCAACATGTGGCTGGTAGGTGTTCAACTGGTAGGTGTTCTGTGGCTCCGTGGCCTCCCTCCCTCATATACTATGGGACTGCAGCGAGGATCCACACCCGCCTGATCTCCTGACCACTCCCTCGTCCGAGGCGTGGGAATGTGTACTCCGCGATACGACCCTAGAAGTACAGCTCCGGGCCATACAGCGAACTGAGGAGGTGGCGGCCAGGCACAGCCTGACCGCCATTCTTCTGTGAATTGCTTTTCACTTAAATGAAGTTGTCTCTCTCTCTCTGGAAGACTCAGGTGACTGGCTTTGCGTTAAATATCCTCACTCACTCACTTACTCACTCACTTACTCAATCACTCGCACACTCTTCAAGAAGATAAACATATAATTGGAGCATGTCAAGCTCTTGTACGTTTTTATTTTATAAACCGTGTTCTCGGGCCCCCCGCCGCTCGGCATGACAGCTTGCGTCCCTCAGCGTCGATGAGCGTCACTACGAGGAGGCTCCGGTGTCGTGTTGTTCAGCCTGTAAGGCACGATGTACTTGCGTAGCAAGGTGCACGTCTGCGTCGAGCCAGCACTCTGAACCCGAGGTTGCTCCACGAGTCGAAGGGTGGTGGCCAGCCGCCGCTCATTCGGCGGCCACAGCGTCCTCCCTGCCTCCATGGTACTGCGCGTCCGCCATGCGAAGAGGTCGCGTGGTAAGGTCGCTTTCAATGAAATTTACTTTGACTCGAATACTACCTATTAATACCATCTTAACTGGTGTTTACTTCCGCTGTCTTAAGTTTGAGACAGATTTCTTGCCCCGCCGCGGTGGTCTAGTGGCTAAGGTACTCGGCTGCTGACCCGCAGGTTGCGGATTCGATTCCCGGCTGCGGCGGCTGCATTTCCGATGGAGGCGGAAATGGTGTAGGCCCGTGTGCTCAGATTTGGGTGCACGTTAAAGAACCCCAGGTGGTCTAAATTTCCGGAGCCCTCCACTACGGCGTCTCTCATAATCGTATGGTGGTTTTGAGACGTTAAACCCCACATATCAATTAATCAACAGATTTATTTCATTCAGCTTCAGTCCCATTATCACGTTATCACTTCCCAACAGCAGCCAGATATTTCAAGCGAGTGCGATTTTGTATACGTGGGCGTGTATTTATGAACTCGTACAAAGATAAGCGAGTATTTGGTGGTGCAGCCGAGGAGTAGCGATGCTTCGAAATTTCCCCGGTTTTTACTTTGTTTTCAAAACACCCCGGAATATGTTCTGTTATCTTGAGTGTCAATTTGAGCAGTCATGATGGAGAGACAAGACCGCTCTGCAGTAGAAGCCAACACAACGCTCACCGATTGTGAACGAACGAGCTCCAGAGGCCGATCAGCATCTGGCTGAAGTCCGCGTCGCGTGGTGTCAGCAGCTCGGGCCGGTCGAACACGTATCCCCAGACGAAAGGGAACTCGTCGAAGTGCGTGACGCCCATCCAGGGCGGCCAGAAGTTCGCCTTGAGCGGCCGGTAGCCGTACTCGTAGTGGTAGAGGCGCGAGCCCCGCTGGCGCAGCACAAACTCCGAGAAGTACTGCGTCGGGCAGCGCATAGCCACGTCCCCGATCCCATCGGCCAAGTGTCGAACTATGTCTGGCGTTGACGTCCCGTCCTGTATCGCCATTTAAAAAGATCGGGCATTAATTGGTATCCGGGTTTTATATACAGGGTTTCCCAAATATCGCGCAGCACGTTTAAAAAAAAAGAGGAACGAAAAAGAGGAACGAGGAAAGAGGAATATATACGCGAAGCACACATTGCTCCCGTATATACTGTAGTAACCAGTACAAGCTTTTCGTTAATGAGGTTTAGCTAATTAGTCCTCAAAATGTTTTAACACGACAAATACTCACCTAATCACTGAAATGTCAATGAGGCGTATATATAGGCATACTTCAAATGACATCGAACGGTGCTATTTTCAACAATGTACTCGCTTTTTTTTTCATTATAATATAGAAAGACCGCAAAATCCTGAAATATGACACGGGACCAGATCCTGTGTGGAGGGGGGGGGGCGTAGTCAAGTGATATTTTTATATTTAGCGTGCTATTCTTCATATCAGCTGGGACAAATGATCACGTAATTAGTGCGTCGCTGAAGACGACGCAATCATGTGTCATTTGAGCATGCCTACATTTGTTCAATGGACATTTTAGTGATAATGCATGTAGCTGTCAAGTTAGTAAAGTGGTGAAAATTACAGCATACCAAAAGCAATATTGCTTCGCGCAACGACGTTTCTCTCTCTTTTTAATCGTGCTGTGCAATGATTGGGCGCCCATTATTGGACGTAGCCCCGCCGCGGTGGTCTAGTGGCTAAAGTACTCGGCTGCTGACTCGCGGGTCGCGGGATCTAATCTCGGATGCGGCGGCTGCATTTTCGATGAAGGCAGAAGTGATGTATACGCCCGTGTGCTTAGATTTGACCAGGCAGTCAAAATTTCCGGAGCCCTCCACTACGGCGTCTCTCATAATCATATGGCGGTTTGGGGACGTTAAACCCCACATATCAATCAATCAATCAATCAATCAATCAATCAATCAATCATTATTGGGCGTCGGCAGACATTTTTGGGGGTAGAGGGGGGCACCTTTTTTATCTGAAGTAGCGATAGGGCTGGAAAATGTCCATTCTGCGCTCTGAATGCCGTGGAAAAAATATTTCGGGGGGGGGGGGGGGGGCACGGGCTTGTGTGCTATTTACTGGCGTCGGCAGGGGGTACAAAAGGAGAACTTGGGCGCCTCAAACCCGACGCAGCGCTTCCCCAACAGCCAAGTTGCACCAGTGTCTCCCTTACGGTCGCGATGCAACACTGCTTGCACCCCCCCCCCCTCCCCCAGAAAAAAAAAATCCCGCTCGTGTATGTATCAGTTTGTTTTACTCAGTCCGCGCGTCCTTTGTTAAGCATAATTATGATTCTTGAAGGGTTGATGACACGTTAAAAACTACGTGTCGAGTGTAAGAGCTGAGATTTACGAATGATGCGACGCTTTTGTTTCACAGAAGTGCAAGACGGCGTTGGATATACATGTATACACAACCATGTACGTACGCAGCAAAACGTCGCTCTGCCGATGTCATTGCAACGAGAAGTTGAGCTCTTCTTTAAAGCAGGGAAGCTCTCAGTCCCGTTTCGTAAAGCTGGTAGCTAGTATTCCAACAGTGCAAATGTTTGTGTGCACAAATTGAACACAAATAATCTGGGGCGAACTAGAATGCCTCATTAAGGTGGAACATTCTGCAGAAAGCTGCAATTAATGTTTCCGAAATCAACTATGCATCATGCACAAACGAAAAGAAAGAAAAAGAGAGCTAAAGATGGGGAAACATTTCTAGATGACTTAAAGTATTCGATGTAGAAACTATAATCAACACGAAACACTATATCGATAAGACAGATGCTTGGGCTAGCTGGTGATAACGAATCAACATATTTGCACAACGCGAGAAAACGAGTATATAACGATTTAACTATACAGAACGAAGAAACTTTCCTGTCCATGTCCCTTCCTTATAGTTACGCCGTACCTACTCGTTTTCTTGCACTGTGCAAATATATTGACAATATATGACATTTCAAGATGAGCATTAGTTCATCTTGAAAAAGAGTGCAATGTTCGGGTGAAACCTTACGTATTTGAACACATATGTGTGTGGCTATGCGCAATTATAACAATGTAGTAAAGTTTGCGTGTGTGTTACCTTATCTATTTAGTGCAATAAGTAAGCCGCCGAAAGAACAGTCTGAAATCCTCATGGGTCGAAGCATGCATGCATCATCACTCGACAGAAAGAAATGTGAAATCGCAAACGGGTGCGTGATCCTGCATGCCCTGACCCGCGGCGTTGCTATTCGAATACATTTGCTATAAAAGACTGAAGCACATATCTCTGCAAAAGTGAGTGACAAGTACAGTTAACAAGTGAGTTAACAGCGAGTGACAGTGAATGACAAGTGAGTTAACAAATACAGTCCGGTCCACTGTTAAAGGGAAGAATCGGCCACTTGCGAAAGCAGCATTGCCACACAACCTTAAATTCCTATCACGATCGCAAGACTGGTAGGACCTTTCTATATATGTAAAGAATTTTCCTTCGGATTTTCGCATCATTTTTCAGTGATAATTGATGGCGGAAACTAAACGTTGTGTTCATTTTAACTATGGACCGGACTGTTAACTTCACGCTTACACAAGCATGATGTTCGACATACGGTAACGTTGGCCAGTAGACCCTCCATGAGGTCGTCGGGTGCCTCCCAGAGGGCGTAGTTGACAAGGAGCTTCACGATAGTGACGTGCTGTCTGTTGCTCATAACGAAAGGGTCGGTGATGCCCATGGTTTGATACAGCTTGTTCAGAAAGTATGTACCCTCGTTCTCGTTCACACCTATCAGCAGGTCCACCGGAGGCGCACTGCCATTAGCCATGGTTGACAGTGGGTCTTTAGGCAGCAGGTCGTCCCCGGAAACAGGTATAAAAGAGGACGCCTTGAGCCCTAACACCATTTTGACGGCACCGAGGAGCTTCTGTGTCGTCTGATTCCTGAGACATTCAACCACGTGTGCCATAGGCCTTCGAAGGAGATGTGGGCCGCAGAGCCTGGCCGCCATTCGTCTTGCCTTCTCTGGTCCCGTGATTTGGTTCTCTTCCACCTTGTAGAAGGGCGTACCACTCTGCATGATGGCTCGCTGAAATAGGTGTCGTGTGAGCGGAGACAGCACGTGATAGCCGACCGAGATCGATCCCGCGCTCTGGCCCATCAACGTTACTTGCTCTGGATCCCCGCCGAAAGCACGCGCGTTGTCCCTCACCCAGAGCAGCGCGAGTCGTTGGTCCCATAAGCCTTGGTTACCGGGGGCGTCTGGCGTACCGACGTACAAGAAGCCGAACACGTTAACCCTGTAATTGGGCACCACGACCACAACGTCACCCAACGCAGAAAAATGGCTGCCATCGTAGATGTGCAGGTTGTTGCCGCCATTTTGGAAGCCTCCGCCGTGAAGGTACACGACAACGGGGCGCAGCGCGTCGTTGGCGCGGACGCTGGGCGTCCACAGGTTAAGGTGGAGACAGTCTTCGTCGAAGCTCGAGGAGTTGACGTACTCCGTGCTGAACCAGTAAGACTCCTGCGGGCAAGCGGGTCTCTTCTTGGTCGCCATTATGACATTTGTGGAGGGCGTCCTTCGCACGGGGTGCAGAAAACGCAGCTCTCCCACGGGTGGGTCGGCGTAAGGTATTCCGTAAAAAGCGTGCAAGGTCCTTCCGTGCGCCGTGATCTCGACGCCCTGAACGAGGCCTGCGGTGGTCTGCACGATCAAGCTGCCGTTGCCCTCCGCGAGGACACTCTTTCTCGGCTGCTCTTCGTGTCGCCTCTTGCCCCCCGTCGTCAGCAGGACCATTGCCGTGACTCCAAGCAGCACAATTGCGCTTATCGCGAACGCTGGAAGTATGCGCGTATACAAATGTGTCAGTTGTGCGTTCGGTTCACCAGTTTTCTTCTCGCACAACTACATATAACAACAATATTCTCAAAGAGCGTGAACACCTATACCGAGCAATACAATAAACATCAGCTGCGGGCAGTAATTACTCGTTTGTAGTGATTGAATAGTTCAACACCTTAATGGGTCGCAAGATCTCCGCGGTTATTGCCCATTTTCGCTGTCACACCCTTTAAACACGCGTGTTCGAGAGCTGCATCAACGCGCATGCTTTTGATAGCACCCAACGAAAATTTCTCTCTGTTCGTTGAATAAGAATTAGGTACCGGGAGCATTTCTACAGTACTTTGTTTCCTATTCCACCATAGCAACTTCATACGCGACCCCGATATCGAACCGCATGAGTGTTTTGCACCTTTAACTGTATGTTCCTTCGTTTACTGCGTCTTGCTCATGTTTTAACCCCTAAAGGACCCCTGTCACCAAAAGTGAAACCTCCAGATATTTGTGTTTTTCGGTTACTTCTTACCGATTATCAGTGCTGGTTGTTAGCTTGAGTGCTCAACTAAGTTGGCAGCACCTCGCGACATTCCCATGGTTATGACGTAGACCGAGGCGCCATGTGACGTTTCCCGAGTCTAGGAGAGTATTGTCGACGTCAAGAGGCACCCGGCGAGGACTATTGTTGTCACCTCTCTCGCTCTGTTGTCGAGCTGCTTAGGCCAATAATGTTTTTAGGGGCGAAGCTCCTCTTAGTCTAACCTTGCCCTGCGTCAGGCGTAACCGGCAATATGAGACACAGTTAGACGGACAGACAGCTGAACAGATAGACGGACAGATGGATGGACAGACAGACAGACAGACAGACAGACAGACAGACAGACAGACAGACAGACAGACAGACAGACAGACAGACAGACAGACAGACAGAAAGATAGACAAGCAGACAGACGGACGGAGGGACGGACAGACGGACAGACATACGAACAGACAGACGAACAGATAGACAGATAAACAGACAGACAGACAGATAGACAGACAGACGGACACACAGACGGTGGACAGACCGATGAACATATGGATGGACAGACGGATGGACAGACAGGCGGACGGACGGATGGACAGATAGACGGACGCACAGACAGACAGAAAGACAGACAGAGGGATGGACGCTTCGCCCCACACATCATCATTCACTCCGTGGATATGCCGTGTTTTTTTTTCATTGCTTATTTCCTTTTTTAGCAGGACGCACTCAAAGCACACGGATCGCTTCATTCATCACCGCGCGCCGGCAGGGGCGTAGCCAAGCGGTGAAACGCCAGGCCCGTGCTCACCCCCCCCCCCCAACCGTATTTTTTTCGCCAAGGCATAGAGAGCGAAAAATGCAACGCCCATTTCAAGGGTGCTCCCCCCCCCCCAATCAAGGTGTCCCCCCTCAAAAAAAAAAAAAGCTTAGACCATCTCCCCGAAGGGAACCCTGATGGGACGTGGAGCGGTAGCGTTGCGCACTGGTGGCGTCAAGCGTTGAACTGCGCTATAACGAAGGTGCTGTGGTGAGCGCTGGAAGGTTCGTTTGAACCGATGGCTGGCGTGGGTCTTGTAGGTGACACGTACAGACGCGTTTCAAAGCGTACGTTAGGCGTGCGTCGGGTTTATTGCGCGTGAACGGACGAGTCGGCGGTGTAGTGAGCGGCGGTCGTGGCAGGTGTTGCGGACGAACGGATGAGACGGCAGCTGCGGGCGCTGCAGAGAGCGCGTGGCAGGTGAGGGAGAGAGTGACGTAAGCCAACGCCGACTTTCGTAAGCGCGTACCACGAGGGGAGCGTGACGTCAACGCACAGCAGCGACGTGACCTAGTTGGCACTGCGCCAACACCGTGCGGAACGTGCGGAGTCAAATAGCTGCTTCGCGTCTAAAAAATATCTGGCTACGCCCCTGAGCATGGGTCCCACGATTGGCTGATTTGAAAACGATGTGTTCAGCGTCACCAAAACCTTGAGCGCAGGCTCAGGCGCTCCACATTGTTAGGCGGGCGTTTCGAACTGACGCTAAATTGTTATCAGTCAACGGCGCTAGCCCTAATATACAATGCGTTAGAGCACGTTAGAGCACTTACGATTCTGATTCTGGATTACCGCACACAAAGCTGCAAGTTACGGTAAAAAATCGCAAATAAATATTTTGCTCTCAGGGGTCCTTTAGGCTATGTTAACCTTTAAGAAATTCACAAGGTTCATTTTTTCATTTATCTGTTAGTCATTAGCGACGTAGCTGACGCCAGGTGCAATACAGGCGAGTCAGGAAGCACGCGAAGTACTGACCTTTGAGACTGCGACAGAAGCAACTCACTTTAAGGTTCATCGTTGTTGAGTTACGCAATTTCTCTGAGGCACGACGATGTGCTATATAGATGCGTCGCGCTCCCCGTCAGCAAACGTTATTCAACCGTCAACCAAACAACGGCAGTCTCCGCGCACACGTAAAACATTCTGCCAATAACGGCATGACATTAGTGGTCGCATCCGAATGTTGTTGCTGTTGTGTTCATTCACGCGAGTGGTTGATACCCACTACGCGGAATTTGCCAAGACTGATTAATTTATCATGTCAGACGAGAGAAAATGAATGATTTAGCTTAAAGTATCCACTCGTTGTCCAAATATTATGTTATCTGAAAATGTCTATAGGACATTTCAACGAAAAGATCACCTTTTTTCTAGGCTGCATTGTCGTCGTCGTCGTCGTCGTCGTCGTCGTCGTCGTCATCATCATCATCATCATCATCATCATCATCATCATCATCCTGACCTTGCCCACTGGAGGGCAAAGTCCTCTCTCGTGTTCCGCCAATTAACCCAGTCGTGTGCTTTTTGCTGCACAGAAGTCTAAATTATTCAGAAGTGGAAAGTAATTAAGCATTGAACAAGAATATATTGGTAAATCAATGATCTGCCATTGGAAGTTACTTGCTCTATTCGTATGTTCGCAGACGACTGCGTTATTTACCAGCCAATAAGAAATATCTCCGACCAGGCTGTGCTGCAGAGCAGTTTATCTAAAATCCTGAATTGGTGCGATCGCTGGCTTATAGCCCTGACTCCCAGTAAATGTAAATTAATGTCCGTCACCCGCTCGCGAAGCCCTCTCCTCTATCCGTACAAAATTGCTAGCACTCCTATTGAATCTGTTAGTACCTTCAAATATCTCGGTGTAACTATCTCCAAAGATCTCAATTGGTTTCCGCATGTGTCCAACGTCATCTCATCCAGTGACAAAACCCTAGGCTTTCTCAGACGTCATTTACGCAGCTCTCCTCCTCACGTTAAACTCATCGCATACAAATCTTTAATTCGACCAAAATTGAGTGCGCGTCCGCAATCTGGAATCCTCATCAACTTATCTCATAGACGCATTAGAAATGGTGCAGAAACGTGCCATCGGGTACATTCACTCATCATATTCGTATAACGTTAGTGTATCCTCATTAAAGGCGGCAACTGGCCTGCCCGCCCTTTCTTGTCGCCGTCGCACTGCCAGCCTATCCCTGTTTCACAAAATGTATTACAGTTCACTCAATCAGCCACCTTACATCTCACCGCCTGCTCGCATATCCCTCCGTACAGGTCATTGCTTAAGTGTTGCTCATCCACAAACCAGTACTCTCACCTTCTCGTCTTCTTTTTTTCCCACGCACCATTGAAGACTGGAACGGCCTTCCCTACGCCATCGTTGCCACCACCAACCCAGATGATTTCATTGATGCTGTAAAAGGGCACATCTCATCCTAAATGGTCATGTATCATGTATCCTTACTGTACACCCACCCCTTATGTAATGCCCCCACTCGGGGTCTTTAAGGAAATAAAGTGAAAGTAAATTATTCTTTTAGTACTCTACTGGTATTTATCTCGCCATCCTAGGTCAATTATAGAATGCAAAAATTAGGGCGCCACAGCACCGAACAGGGACACAGGGGCACAATAAAATGTGACATAATAGATGTTCCGTACTGCGCTCCACTTTTTTTTTTGCGTTTAAAATCAATCGTTACCAATTAGCCCAAATGGCGGTTATGCATGGTAATGGAGCCTAACGTTTCGCTTCCCCTTATGGGCGGTTGAAGGTCGCAAAAGTTATCTCATAGAAAATTGACTTAATAGGGAGAAAGGCATTGCGATAAACCTTCTCCCTCTTCCCCAAAGACAAACCCTGCGCACGCCCATGGTACAGGATTCTTATTTGGAATTCCCGCTCTAGTTCGAGACATCACTGCTGGATTCCATGGTGGTGTCGCCAGCGATCTTCGATGACCGACGCCAGCGTAGCTCTCGCCGATCGGCCCGCCATCCACGATCACCCGATACCGTGTAGCTCTCGCCGAGTGGTGCCGCGTCCTCGGATTCCTTCGACCGTGTCCCCCATCTTTCGTATATCTCTTCTATCTTTTTTCTGTCGCTGTATGTGCGGTGAGAGCTAGCTCTCTCTTCTTTATCCTTCCACTATTCTTTATCCCCCTTTCCCATCCCCTTCAAGGCACTGGGCCATGTTAATTAGGCAGACAAAAATTAAGTGCATTTGTCTTTTTTTAAGAACTACGACTATACTACTAGAGAGTTAATATACAAAGTCTAGAGAGAAATCTGGGCTCACGTATCAGAAACATATCGGAATTGTGTATTTATATCAACTACTTTTACGAAGGAAACAGTGTTCGTTTATGTAATTTGCTGTTCGCGGAAAAAAAAAAACGTGTTCAGGTTTGTTTACAAGGTGGCGTGGCGCTACCATCCTTTTATTTTAGGAGCGGGGTCGTGCGGCGCAACGTTGCCATTTGACATGGAGTTTCATAAAATATGTATGAAACTTTATGCCATTTGACTTTACTAGTTGTGTAGCCGTTGCCGTCGGCTTCTAGGGATATATATTACTCTAGGGCTATGTAATCGTTTGTTGCT